TCTCGCTCTCTCTCTCTCTCTCTCTCTCTCTCTCTCCTCTCTCTCTCTATCTCTCTCTCTATCTATCTCTATCTCTCTCTCTCTCTCTCTCTCTCTCTTCTCTCTCCCCGCATTACGGAACGTCCCGGAACTGCAGGCTGCGGGTCTCACGCTACCCCCGTAACAGTTCACCCACGACCGGTAATGGAGGAGTGCAGTTGGTCACGCAGACGGTGTCCGCAGTGATGGGACGGAGCACACGCCGTGGGTACGCATCCGCAACTGCGCCGCAGCGGCGCGAAACATCCCCGTGTGGACGAACATGGCCATTTGTTTTCGATTGCTGCGTCGCTTTGAATCAGGTACAACCATTGCCTTTCGTCACAATTGACATTATCGCTGTTGATTGACCGGAATAACTTGGTTTTCATCTTAATTGGTGCGTGATTGGCCTTTTAGAGTTAATGCATTAGTTTCGGGTGCCTGTTCCGTTTGCAACACTACTCTCTTTAGAAAAGGATCGGCTGGTGATGACTCATACATTCCACGACTGTTGCGACGACTCGGTGAGGCCACCCATCATATGTTGTCGTGCGTGCCAGATTAATGTCTTAAACTCTACTGCGTCCGAAGTGAACAAGGCTAGCTCAGTTTTGGCAGTACGTCTTTCATATACCTGTACGTATCGCAAGCAAAGCTCCTTTTTACACCCAGTTTCCATTCTTAGATAAAATGAAACGCACGCTGAGCAGAATGTGTTCGATTTGTGCTGCATGAAGTAAGCCTCGCGAGAAGTATGAGCCTGCGTATGCAACCGATCTGCTGATCTAAGCAGGGGGAAAACCACATGTGGTGCATAGGTTGCACGTCTACACGATAGGTGACGTTTCGAAAGGCTGTGTGAAAATCATATGCAATGTTTTAGAAATCGAAGATGTTGCATACCTAGACTTGTGCTGTGAATGAAAAAGCTAACGTGTCCTTAAATGGCCGATGGCCACTTACAGAGTACGTTAAAAAAGAAGTTTGTGACGCTTTTGCGCGGTCGCTGATTAGCACTGATCGATCGCTGATAAACATCGTAACATGTCAGGCATATGGAAACCGTCTAATAGACAAAGAAGGAATTTTGAATATTTCGAGAAACAAGATGCCCATTTTGGGATGCCTCATTTCCGTGGCGACTGTCATCTCGCACGCTATCCCAGTACACTAGTTTGTTTCACGAGATCAGCGGGTATGATGTCTTGAAGCGACAGGGAGCAAAGCAATGTAGTGCATTTCATCGTGTCACATGATAATGAGTGGAACCTTACAGGTTGTAGCAGGGCTCGAGCCGCCCCGAAAACAAACTTCATTGTCCCTATGAGCTTGTGTGCAGATAATTTGGTTAAGGTCCCAAAATGTCCCGTAAAGAAAAGGAGAAATGCCTCTGCTCTGCGCTGCCTCATGAAATCGGCCCTCTGCTACCAAATAAACGGGAATGCAGGGACTCTGTGCTTATTTGGCTGCTTACACTTGTAAACTACAGATAGTGAGCGCCGGTCCTTGACCTGAAACGTACGTCGAATCCCCGTGCCAGGCCTAAGGCGTGTCTGTGAACGCGTCGCACTGACGTCGACGCTGGCGCACCAGGTGACGTGGCGTTCCGGTTCCTCTCGCACGTGGAGTTCGCGTCGGGCGGCGCGTCGTCGGCGGCGGCGGCCGGCCCGGCGCCTGACCTGGAGGCCGAGGCGGAGCGGCTGGGTGTGGCGCCGATCGAGCTGGGGGAGTCGGCCGAGGCGCCCGCCGCCGGCCCAGCCACGCCGCCGCCGCCGGTGGTCGTCTGCGACATCAACGCCGCCATGCTGGAGGAGGGCCGCCGGCGCGCGCGACTCGCCGAGCTCGAGCACCGGCTTAGCTGGGTGGAGGGTGATGCCGAGGCGCTGCCCTTCGCTGACGACTCGTTCGACGCGTACACCATCGCCTTCGGCATACGCAACGTCACGCACGTGGACCGGGTCAGTCACCGGTCGGTGGGCGGTGATTGTATGTCCTGGGAAATCGCTACTCAGTAAGATATTGGTCATTGTCTCGTAGTTTTTAGCATCGAGTGAAGTACGCCTTGGAGTTGGGATGGCTTATTGGTAGATAGTTGTTCTTTGTGCGAAGTATTCCGAAATACGTTCTTCTTCGTATTTTAGTGAGCATAAAAGCAGCAGCTCTGTACTTCACCGGTGTTCTGAAACGTTCAACCATACGGGAATGCTCGCTCTCGTCTGCCGTTTAAACTCTGCACGTATCGTCGCGTTGCCGTCCGACGGCGGTGATCATCAGTGGCCTGCGGGTGGGCCTTTACTGTGCCGTTACACCGTGCTGGGCGGGGGGCTGACAGCGGTGATCTTCAGCAGCCTGTGGGTGGGTGTTTACTGCGCCGTTACACCGTGCTGGGCGGGGCGGCTGACGGCGGTGATCTTCAGCAGCCTGTGGGTGGGCCTTTACTGCGCCGTTACACCGTGCTGGGCGGGGCGGCCGACGGCGGTGATCTTCAGTGGCCTGCTGGGTGGGCCTTTACTGCGCCGTTACACCGTGCTGGGCGGGGCGGCCGACGGCGGTGATCTTCAGTGGCCTGCGGGTGGGCCTTTACTGCGTCGTTACACCGTGCGGGGCGGGGCGGCCGACGGCGGTGATCTTCAGTGGCCTGCGGGTGGGTGTTTACTGCGCCGTTACACCGTGCTGGGCGCGGCGGCTGACGGCGCTTTCGTGTCCCGGCAGGCGCTGTCGGAGGCGCACCGGGTACTGCGGCCCGGCGGCAGGCTCCTCTGCCTCGAGTTCAGCCGCGTGACCAACCCGCTCGTCCGATGGTGCGTCTCGGCCGGGGCTGAACATGGCCCCGTGTTGCCAGCTGTGCATCACGAGGCGCGGCTTTGTACGGGATGTTGCTGTTCAATGTAGCGTGTCTGAGATGCGCCCATGAGAAACTCGTGCATGTTCGCTTGCCTGCTTCCGCGCGGGCAGTACCAAGTAGGTGTGTCATTCATCATCACATTGTACAGGGGCGTGGGCAATAGTGGGATTAGGAGTCACCACTCCCTTGAATCTCCTCGCGATGGTTGTATGTTCTGCATATATTTCGTTAGTTGTTGCCAGCCTAGTTAAGGGTCAAGTTTTTGATGCGTGATAGTCTGCGACTGCTGCTATGTTTCAGGTTCTATGACCAGTACTCGTTCCAAGTGATCCCTCCCATGGGAACAGTTTTGGCGGGCGACTGGAAATCGTACCAGTACCTGGTAGAAAGCATCAGGCGCTTCCCAGCTCAGGTTGGTGTGCATGTGGTGGCCATGTTTGTGCTCAGTGTTCTTTTCAGTCTTAGTTTCAGGAATTTAACACTGATGTTTCGCCCTGTAATGAGACAGGTATGTCGGATTACATACTTTTATGTCGTCATGATGCATTCATTCTTTCATGAACTTATGGTTGGCATGCACGCGTATGATGTATTTTCCAACATTCGTCGTTAAGTCATTTCCGTCGTCTATATATATATATATATATATATATATATATATATATATATATATATATATATATATACAGTCGATCGATTTATAAAGTCACCGTCTCATCACTTTAACGGGAACGCACCAATCGGATTCCTTCCTCGCACCGATGTCGTATGCGCGGTCCATCTCCTGATCCAACACCGGCGGCTATGCTGACGGCCGTCCGCTGGTCGTGTTCTAATCCTCACGTGCACGGTGGTGTCCTCCAGGAGGAGTTCGCGCGAATGATCGAGGACGCCGGCTTCGGTCAGGTCTCGTACGAAAACCTGACCTTCGGCGTGGTCGCCATCCACTCGGCCTTCAAGTTGCCACGGTCCACAGGGCCTGCGTAGTCCCAGCTCAGTTTACATACCTCGCCACCCATGTGCTTCGCGTGTGAAAAGTGATGGATGCTGACCGCGAGGACGTCTGAATCATGCGAGATGCCGTCGACAAGCCCACATGAGACTCAGAATGCCGCCAAGGCCTGATAGCTGAATAAACCATTGTGTCATGACGAATTGGTTTGTGGACAAATGACGAATAAATTCCAAATGAAGTAATACGGAATGCAATTGAACGAACAATTTTGGTTCAGGATGTGGGTGTTGCGATTGTGTGCATGACATTCATTCCTTGCCCATGACTTTCCATCAGAGTTGCGGACTCGAGGGAACAAAGCATAGCATATCACATAGCATTTACGCGACAATATCACACGAGCATACACGCTTTAGCCGCAATTAACTTTCACGCGGATGAGACGATTGTGTTGGCGTGGACCATGCAGCGTTGGAATATAATGTGCTTCATGACTGGTAACAATGAAAAGCGTTAATCTGTTGGCATCATTGTGACCCGCCATCTTATCGCTAGGCTCAGCCCCTAGACACTTTCGCTGCACCTCCCTTACATATGTACAACACGACGGATGCAAGAGACACTGGTCACATATGCACATCGGCTTCTTATGCAGAAAGTGCATTATAAACCTTTTGCGATGCGTTGCATGACAATCGGACAAACTTCACACGTGGTGTGATGACCTTGTACCTCAGGCTGGTACAAGGTCAGTATCAAATCTCGACGCTCGTGTCATGCCATCCTCAGGGTACTTTGTGAGTTTTTACGTATGAAAAAATCGGAAAGCAAATGAAGTCCGCTGAATACTAAGTTATGACTGATATGGAAGCATTCGGTTCACGCACACTTCGATCCGTTATGAGCATGAGCTGTGATGGCAATCGGCCTATTTCGGGCACTCACGTGCTATAGACACATTGCAGTATTTTTTTATCGTCATTTTATTTTGTTTTTTGTTTATATTTTGTCTATTTTTTTCTGCATATTTGACACGTGGAGTCCGAAGCACTGGATTTCTTGCGCCGGAACGGACCGCCAAAAGTGCATTTCTTTCGCCGGAGTGGATCGCCGAACATTTGAATGTCTGCCGAATGTCATGTATTTGCCGATCACTTGATGCCAGTGGCGTGCATGGCTCGCCATCGTCGACCAGTCGCCGCTGTGAGGCGCGACTTAACTCGCTGTCACACGCAGTTGTAGTTGTTATATGTTTATGGGTACAAATCACGCACACTGCACATCCCAGGACACACGGGGAACCAAGCCAGCGTAAGCCTCACTGAGTGGAAAAGTGAGACTCTGATCTGAAGATAAAACAGACGGCTTCCATTCCGATCACATGACAGTTTTCAGGAATGTCCATGTGACACGTCCTCATGAGAGCCTTTCAGGATCACCAACATCACGTTCGCACGATGAAAATGGTACTTTGATCGACATTATAACATGATACTTATCACCTTGAAAAGGGTCTGTCGAAAAAACATCTAAAAAATCCCTTCCTTGAGTATTGTTTGTATAATCTCTAATCTCGCGGACAGCCAAAGCAGGCGAACTCTGCCGCGAACGCCACTAACACGGTCATCCACAGCGCCACATATTTCACCAACGACTGGAATGGAAGCTTTCGTTTTACAGCCATGCTGCAGCACTATATGCGTACACTGCTTGCCGAGGAAGACCTAAGACACCCTACATGGACGCATGGGAGTTGCATGAAATATATGAACCAACGTCTTGCTTCCATGACCTGCCCTTTAGTCACCATTTGTGTTCATGCTTCTACGCTTTGCCACTAAAGCATCGAGGCTGGGCCCACCCCTCGGAGTTAGTAGCGCGCCTAGGGTAGCATGTATCGGCCCGGTGCAAAACTCCACACATCGAACATTCCTCATCACGGTGGGCGATTGATAAAATATATGCGGAAATTGTTGTTAAAGGATCGGCGACTGTACAGCGACCTTGCAGACGGCCACATCAAACATGCAAACTGGTCAGATTGTCTCTTGACCAGTGCTTGTGTCTCTGCTCTAGGGACGGACGATTACTTTATTGCCAAAACCTTGTACGAAACGTTCCTCGTCGCAGTTTCTGTTGTAACTTGACCACTGCGCCAATTGTACTTCAATGTACTATGAGTATTCACATGTGTTGGACGCCAAAAACCGTGAGAGGGGGTCACAGCTCGCAAAAGAAAACCCGCTAAAAAATCACCATCGCCCACCGACTGTCTGGCTGAGCGCTGTGGGTTAATAAGCACCCATGTCTCAGAGGTTAATAGGCACCACTCAGTACACGCCTCCGCGGCGCCGCCAGCGGCTGGCGGCCGGGCCTCGGTGGGCGCTGCGTCGTCTCGCCGTCCGTCGTGCGCTCAGCAGAGGTGCAGGCCAGGGCCGCGGTCGTGCGCGCGGCGCACGCTGGCGTGGAAGGCGGCGAACGTGGCGCTGCCGGTGACTGCGCCCACCTGGGCCGGGTTGGTGCGCACCGTGTGGACCGTGAACTGCGCGCCGGGCTCGCCTGGACCGGTCACCTCCGTCTCCACCAGGTGTCGGTCTGGCAGGCTGCCGACGGGCGGCATCGGTCAGCGGCTGACTCCCGGGCCGCACGGCACAGGGCGGAGCAGGCCACGGGGTCTCGCGGCACCGCCACGGCAGGTCAGAACACCTGCTAGTCAGAAGCGTGGAAAGCCACAGCAACGTCTCTGAGCTGGACCTGGAGTCGGTAACCACGTTGACCTGACTCCACCTGCCGATCAGACGGCGGGTCGGTAATGATGTTGACCTGCGGTGAGTGACGAACCCGAAATTTACGCGCCCAACTGAGGTGCTCCACCAGCCTGGTCAGGGGTCCACCCTCAGCCTGACCCGGGTTCCACCCTCAGCCCGACCCGGCGCCCACCCTCAGCCCGACTCGGAGTTCACCCTCAGCCTGACCCGGGTTCCACCCTCAGCCCGACCCGGCGTCCACCCTCAGCCCGACTCGGAGTTCACCCTCAGCCTGACCCGGGTTCCACCCTCAGACTGACCCGGCGTCCACCCTCAGCCTGACCCGGGTTCCACCCTCAGCCTGACCCGGGTTCCACCCTCAGCCTGACCTGGGCCGACAGCCAGCGTGACCTGCAGCCAGCCATCGGGCTGACCTGTCATCCGGCATCGCTCCGACCTGAGGCCCTCACCATCCGCCACCCTAGCCCGCGATCAGGGACCCGCCTGGTCCGGTCGGCCTCCCGCTGACCTGGGGTCGGCGATCAGCCGGCCGATGACGCCGTCGAAGCCGAGGTTGTGCGCCGCCAGCGCCGCCGCCGCCATGGTGTTGACGTTGTGCGGCGCCTGCGGGCACAGCTCGCGCACGGGGCCCTCGTACAGGGTGACAGCCGACTCGGTGGCCGTGGCCGCCAGCTCGGCCAGCCGGCCAGACAGTCGGAAGGCGGCCGGATGCTTCCGCATGGTCACGCGCAGACCCTGCGGCCAGGCGAGGTCGTGCGGCAGGTCAGGGGGCGGCGGCTGGCGCGACGGCCAGCATCGCGCGCTGACAAACGGCACGATCGGCAGCCCAACCACGGACGGGCGGAGGCCCTGGGACGCATCACACGATCAGAGTCATAGCATCGGAGCGACAACGCACAGACATCTGATGCTCGGTGGTTTACATATTCGGTGGATCTGCGCTCCGAGCATCGCAGGGTCAGCAATTCAACGACTGAGTGGTCAAAAGCCCTACAAAACCAAGGCCAGCATGCTGACACATCCGAGGGTCGACTGGTGTCGTGGAGCAACAGGCGGTCAGTGCCCCCCCCCCCCCCAAACACAGGGGGGGGGGGGAATAACTTGACGGCTTGCAGGTCAGCCAACGCAATCCGAAGGCAGGTCAGCACTTGGACACCGAGAGGCCAACTCCCTGATATATAAACAGGAACACGCCGACAGGGCCGCGCATTATCATCTGTAAAGTAACGGTCCACGGGCGCATGCTTAGGACATTGGTGGCTATGGATATCCCTCGTATAAACAAGCCGACGACGCCTGGCATACTCAAATAAGCAGGCCGGCGTGGAATGAGACGGCGTCGTCCCACCCGGCAGTCTGCTCTAGACGGCCGGTGAGCATGAACGTAGAGGAGCGTACAAAGAAGACAGGCTGCATGATCTTGATAGCTGCCGTACCAAAGCGATCGAACCTCGCGGATGCCCTGATTTCTATGGCGCCTGTCTTCTTGCCACATCCATATTTACGCTGAGGTTCTGCGAAATGTTGGCTTTTACATGGGGCTGATGGATTCCTGGGTATTACTCGCTGGCACGTCGCGCACGTCTGCGTCTTAGTTCATATCGCTGCAGCCGACGATACAGAAGACACTGACTATGGTGCCAGTGCTTCAGACATTCCGAATGAGTTGAGTTAAAAGAGCCCTGTATCGCCTCACAACTTTATGTTCGCTCAACGAAAAACCAAATGGCAAAGCATCCAAATGGGATAGTGTCTTTGGTAAATAAGTCCATTTAAGGCTACAAACTTTCAGAATAAGCTCATCGTTAAGTTAGAAGTTCCTGACGAGAATAGCAACGCGATGAATCGGGAAAGTATGCCGCAACGTCTCTTTGCCTATCTCAAAACATTTTTCGGTACCCTCAAATGCTTTAAGCCATCAAGGCTGCATCAAGGCTGCATGACTTGCTCGAGAATCGTGACACGGCTCGCAATGCTTTGAAGTGATGCAACGAGACCATTTGTTTGACACAGCACACAGATCAGGTCATGTGCTTTCTACAGGCTTGCATCTTTCCAACCCAAAACAAAAGCCATTGCTGGTTTATAACAATAGCTTAACGTTCCGAAAGCACAACAGCGTCAATTCGCGATGCAGCGATTCTGTCCTCATACGTTGAAATAATTTCGCACACGGACGGTCCCGGTACGACACCACATGACAGACATTGCCGACCGACTTTAAAATGTCTATGTTTTTTAAAATGCGCTCGGTTCATACCATCTCAAATGCAGGGAACCCGGTCGCAAGTCAAAATACTACGTGTTGTTAAGTGTGGCACGTTATGGAAGAAATTTGCCAACATAACCTACTGGCCGCCATGCTAGTTATCGCGGCTTGGAAGGGGGGGGGGGCATAAGAGGGTTTTAAATATTCGATATCTTGCTTAAAAGCGCAAGTACAAACGTGTGTTAAACATACGTCATAGATCATCATCAGCATCGCCTACACGCATGCCGACAAGCGGAGGGACCCCGGCCGTCCAATGCACAGGAACGCTCCCGCCTGGCTCGCTGGTCACGTGACCTAGCGGGTCACATAACGTGGTGTCTGGTGGCGACATCGAGAACTCGCATCCGTTCGGAGCCGCATGACTCCGCGCGGACCGCGGCCGGGGTCGATCACGTGTCAGGGGCGGTCTGTGAGACCGGAGCACAGCCAGGCAGCAGGGCTCCGCGCGGACCGCCGCCGGGGTCGATCACGTGTCAGGGGTGGTCTGTGAGACCGGAGCACAGCCGGGCAGCAGGGCTCCGCGCGGACCGCCGCCGGGGTCGATCACGTGTCAGGGGTGGTCTGTGAGACCGGAGCACAGCCAGGCAGCAGGACTCCGCGCGGACCGCGGCCGGGGCTGATCACGCGTCAGGGGTGGTCTATGAGACCGGAGCACAGCCAGGCAGCAGGGCTCCGCGACATCAGCCTCCACTCGGCCGGATCTTCAGCGCATGCGTGTGGCGCGGGCGCTATCGAGAAGCGTGGACCAGAACGGCTCTCGCGTAAGCTGCATGAGATGACAACGCTTGATGGAAAATATCCCTGGCTGTCATTCTTATTTCTTTCTAAAAGATGCCATGATGACACTGTGCCAGGAATATTCTGCTTGTCTATTAAGCCACGAATCGTTTCTCGAATCCTTCAGTCATTTGGCTTTAGGACGCCTAAGAGTGGCAAGGGGGGGGGGGGGGGTAAGCAAATACAAACGTTATTTCGGGAGCCTTCGCGGGTCAGAGCTCAGCGGTCACCTCACTTACTAGCCAACATCCGTCCATTGGCGGGTGCCTACACTCTTTGTCCCGTGGGCTGTGGCGATAACGGCTAACCGATTATTGCGACGAAGACGGTTTTGCCGAGCGTTTTGATGAATGGTCACATATGATATTCAAACCTGCCATAACGGATTTACGGAGTGCCAACTCGTCAACGGACTGATGGAACAACTCACTGCCAGGTCTTGCCCGTGGGACGGCCATTAGTCTGTGACATGTGTCAAATACAAAGTAAAATGACACGCATGCTTTTTCGAAAGTCGGATAGTTCGTTATTTGGCTTGAAAGGCTGCCAACCGCAATTATTTTTGAGCCTCAAAAGTCGGGTAATAAATTCCACAAATCGGCGAGGACGGGGACCACTGAAAGAAGTCAGGTTCAAGAGCTGGCATTGTCACGTTCCCTGGGCAGGACATGTAACCTGTCCAGGAAGAGCCTGCACAGAGACGGAGATGCCAAATGCTAGGGCCAGGACGTACCTGCAGAATCCCGAGGTCAGCCATCTTCTTGATATCCTCGCCGCCCCAGAAGGCACCAGAGGGGATGTAGATGGTGTGGTTGGAGGTCAGCGCCACATCCAGCAGGCAGCTCTCCAGGTGGTAGTCAGCCAACGCGGTGGGAGAGCCGATCATGTAGTCGCACGTGGACAGGAACAACGTCCCATACTGAGGATACAGGTGGCTGGCTGCTTACAAAAGAAGGTAACTAGCTGCCACCAGTCACAGCCATGCATCAGAAATAGCCCTCTGCTTCAAGGAGGATATGCATAAGTTGTGGTTAAATGGTGGAAGATCATTGTAAATGGCAAAGCAGCTGGCAACCTGGAATGGCATGATTTTGTATTAACTTGATTTTCCAGTCCTTTTTTCCAGTCTTTACAGTCTTTCTGACAATGGCTACCAATATTTGCATGACCTTTCTAACAATTGCTTCCTGGTGCTCATACACCCCATCGACAAACCCAAAAGCACATCAACCATCATAATCACTTAGTTGGTAAAGTGGATGGCAAGGTAAATGACAGTGACATCTTACATATCTAGTGATCTAACAAACATGTTTTATATGTACAGTGATATTGGTACCCACTTGAACAGTGATTGAGGGATGAGCCACCTCAACAATTAGATCTGGTGACCTTTCCTTGACATCCTTCAGGTCATCAAGGGCTAAGGAACCCAGTGGTGCAAGAACTTCCTTAGTCCTATTCCACACAAAAACGATCTCCAGAGATGGCTCATGTTGAATTGCATTGTAAATGCTTTGGCCTGAAACAAATAAAACACAGTTTTTAAAGACAGTGTCATTATTGTTACCCATACATCCTTCACAACATCTGTAGCAAAAAAACTTCTGTGCAAAAATAAAAAACTTCATCTGTGCCAAAAAATCTTTGCTTGCAACAAACATAGGACTGACTTCAAACACAGGCACCAGTGTATGAAAGGAAGGATGACTGGCTGCATAAGAATACAGGCTGAATGAAACACATGACAATGGCTAAAAAGGAAAACAACATAAAATAATGCTACAACTTGAGCAATAAATGCAACTCAGCTTCATGTTCAGACCAGAAAGGAAAAGGTCAGATTACATGAAAAGACAATCATATATGCAGCCCATGGTCACCAAGTAATCCAGCTTAGTTGCTTCTGTCTGTCCACATTTTTTACAATAAAGTTGCTCGCATAGGTAAGGAAATTCAAGTTCATTTCCCAACAGTTATCAGAAGTGCTTGTGAGGCTGATATGAAAAATCAAGGCTCAAAATGCAATGAAAGATAACAAAAGGGGTTCCAAAACTGGTGTCTTTTCAAATAGATAATGCATTGCAGTTCACATTCCAAGTAATTTTATATTACCCCTTAATGTGAGTGTTTTTTCCACAGTAAATCCTAAAAATTTTGGCCTTCGCCTCACTTCATTAGGAGTTCAATCACACTCAATATTGTTTTTCATCATCATAATGTATGACACCAGTTTTATTTTCAAAGCAAAAACACAAATGGTAATGTTTCAAATATTTTACATTTACTGTGGTTGAAGCCTTTTTGGAAAATTTCAGCATGCACCATATTCTTGACAATACCAAACCAAAAAGCTTTAAGGGAGGCCAAACCCTTTCAAGCATCAGAACTAAGTGCTGTAGTGCTTCTGTAATCATTCACCTACCAAGAGCGAAAACAATTTTGGAGTTTCTCTACCTACAACTCACCCAGGCTTCCAAAGCCCACAATTCCAACACGCCTTCGAGACATCATCCTTGCAGTAGATGAATGGAGGGCTTACTTGCGGCTCGTTTGAACTTCTTCGCCTCAATGTGTGTATATAGCACAGCAACAGCGCCACGCCCCCTTCCCCGCCACAACTCCTTTACAAATGTGGAGCTCTGGATCCAGGCCAAATCCAGGCCAAGACCTTCACATTGCGCTACATTTGAAATGGTCGCGCCATTCACCACAACACATTTTAGGCCAAGAGTGTTTCAAACCACATTATTTTCGTTTTACTTTCTTGCTTATTCATCAAAAAGTAAAAAGTGTGATGGCGTTTTAAATCCAGGGAAGATATTTTTCTACAATTTAGTCGAATTATTACAGAATTAAATTCAGATCCATCGCAATGCCTTAGCCCAGTGAATCAGTTGCCTAGCAACCAGAAGCCCACAAATGTAAATAACAAAAACCTCAAACCTGGTGACTGCTGCGCCCCAAAATAACCCCGAGGACTCACATTTGTGTGGCGAAGTGGCTTTGAACCGAGACAATTCAATTATTTGTACGTGTGCAGCGTTCGGAGGCATCGGTTTGTACATGCGCAGAGGCATAGCACGCTAAGAACCATATTCTTTCCCTGCCGCGTAAGAAGAAATGTGTGCACAGTCCGTCTGTCCGTAGTCCGTAGAGGTAGAATTTTCATTTTATACCTCTGTACTGCATAGGTATGCTTCTTTTCTTTCACTGGTGGGCGGGCTCGTCTTAGCTTCGTCCATGTTATATATTAGTACCTTATGCTAAACAAGGGCATTGTACATCATTCGTCGTTTTTAAGGCAGACCATATCGTAAATAATCGTAAAACAGGTACATATATACCCTTACCTTCGAACTCAAGCAATTACGACATCCAAGCGCCGCGAACACACAGTGACCGCTACCCCGGCTCCGTGGCTACATTATTGGTGCGTTGTCACAACATTACTGCGTATCAAAAACCATAAAAATGTATGGGGCCAAAGCAACAACAATGCGATGAAATATATTTTTTGTGTGCAAAAGCAGTCTTCCGCACTGTTTGTAGATTGGTCGACATGGGAGGGAGGGGGGGGAGCAAGTATGATGCCTTAATATGGTGGGAATATGACATGAAATTTGATCTTCGACGCCAACGGGGCGATGAGGTATTGGCAGATGAGAGAGGGGGGGGGGGCCTCATCCGTGATGGCAGGGATGAGGCAGAGGGATTGAGTGGTGAATGAAAAGCGAAATGAGACCATGCGGCCAAATAAAACTTGTTAATGCGGTGCATATATATGGCATGGACCATGGACGCCAAGAACATGGAAGTGAACAAGGAAGACGCGCTGTGTTGAAGGGGATAGGGTGAGGAGATCAGCTCAGGAGGAGGTTAGGCTAGGTTAGGTACGAATGATGTATAATGCTCTTCTAACATTAGTTCTCAATGTATACCTACACTCTCAAAAGATCATTCCCGAGCAGTTCTTGTGAATGTGCATTTGTTACATAAGCTGATTGTTGAGTTATGGCATGCTGCTTGTCTGTACCCGATCAGACGGACATGACCCTATGCGCCCGGAAATTAGGGTAGCGGTGCCCCAGAAAGTATGTGAGGGAGAGGGTCATCGCCAATCTTTGAGCATATTCTTCCTATGCATCGCTGTGTAATTTAATTTAACGTTCTCGAAGGGTGAAGGATGCGTGGTTTCTGCCTCCCCCCGTCAGGGGCGCAGCCAGAGCCTTACCAAGGGGAGCACAGGGTTGATAAAGGGCCACCCCGAAGCCCCCCCCCCCCCAATCGCCAGATATGATGCATTTGCTTCTATACATGTATATATATATATATATATATATATATATATATATATATATATATATATATGTGCGTGTGCGTATGCGTGTGCGTGTGCGTGTGCGTGTGCGTGTGTGTATGTGTATGTATGTATGTATGTATGTATGTATGTATGTATGTATGTATGTATGTATGTATGTATGTATGTATGTATGTATGTATGTATGTATGTACGTATGTATTGATGGATGTATCACACATCATTATCACACATCATCACACATCATTCCATAACAGGAATATAGGCGAGACGCTCCCGTGAAATCGATTCTGCCTTAAGTTTACGGTAGATAAATTGACAAAATCATGCGTTAAATGACTGCATGAAATAAATTGCCGGCGCTATTCATTTTGCAATGTAACTATTCAAAACGGATGGAAGTTAGAAATTCGTCAGAATTTTTATTTTGGGTGTACAGAGAGCAGGGATTCCGCCAATGTAGACTGAGGATCAAAATGAGTCAACAATTTGTATTAGCATGACCAAGCCATGTTTCTCGGGGTATGTTCAACATTCGGTCAGAATTGATAAGTCGTGCAAATTATAAACGTAGTTTTGAGCAAGCGCGCTCGCATATCCTAATAACAAAAAGCTCGACACCGGGCGTTGCAGTTTCTGTAGGCCGCGAAGCGTCGGCCTCACGGCTAACATTAGGAGGTGGCCAACAGGTGGACGAAAATGGTGACGCATCTGAAAAAGCACCTTTGGACGCTATTGGACACCAAATCGTACATTTAGAGACATTCCGGGCATATATTTTACCCCTGCGGTTCTTAGATTGATGACAATAACGTATTGGTCTTTACAGTACTGCGAAGTGGTGCGGGAATCTGGTGGTGGAACTGGAAGAGTAGGATAAAATCTCTATTTTCCCTAGTATTGTAACTGTTGATTTGTCCAGAGGACATCCTCAGAGTCATTTTTAAAAATGCCCGGTGTAATCCTTTAACCTGAATTAATCTTGAAAGACATTTAGGAACATCATTTTACGATGGTCGTTGCGCGCCCTGGCGTTACTTGCAATGGACAACGCCGCTCGGTTTTGCGAAAACTGCGATTCAAGCCATCGCTATCTTTGCTCCCGATACTTTGGCCGTGTCATTGGGGCTCTATGACGCACTCAGCTGCTGGGGCTATATGGCACCGCCAGGCTCTCACCCTGGCAGGAAGGGCGGGCACCGTGGGGAACCGAACCCCGTGCCTGTGGTTTCCCAGGCGTGCAGTGCTGGCTCAAACCTTTTGATGCTATTTGTTTCACTCGTCGATTTTGCAAAATGATGAACGTTTTCAGTGAAACATGGGATGATCTCGTGCGTTTTGAACTCATTTCGAACCATTCCATTTAACACTTATTAGACCCCTTATTTTTTCCGATAAAGGGGGTCCTCTGAGTGCAACACTACGGGGGCATATTGTTGTTCCCGGTCAAGGGCTGCAGGGCCATTCTGTCCCACCGCGGTGCGTTTTCCGGCCGTCATTCTGGCGACACGGGGCGGCATCCCCTAGCCGATCCTTACACCCTTAGAAGGACATATCATATTTCATTGGTTCGCTCCCTGACGCGGAAGATCTTCTGGCCCGTGCAGTTGACCCCAGATCGAGGCATGAGCCGTCATTAACGCAGCGACATCCCTGCTCACCGCAGGTGGTCAAATATTTGGCACATAGACTCCATTCGGGCTTAACGGGCCCACGCTCATGCTGGAATAGCGTCAGGGGGCCCACCGTTCAGTACTAGGGGCCCTAACTGGCACAGGACTCTTCTATTACCTTAGTGTGAGCACCCATCATAAGTTTTCATGTTTTCTTCAATATACAGAGGGCCGCGACCAACGCAAGAGATCCTCTGCCATTCGGGCTCCCGTCCCCGTCCCTGTTGAGCAAATCTTCGCCTGGCTGATTCGAGGCGCCTTGTTGCCGAAGAATGCCCTGTTAGGCACTACGGATCCCTGAACGATAAATGACCAATGCAAATCGTGGGCCCGGCCTTGTCTCTGCTTGGGAAATGGGGGCCCAGAGTTCAGACCAACAGGCAGCCGACTTTCCGTCGTTTGTGATCTCTGGTCGATCTATGGTATCTGTGGTCTCTGGTCGAAGGGCTTTTCGGGCCTTAATCGCAGGTTACGAGGAGCCCTTCTAACCCGTCGGAGCCTAAGGGGGTGGGCATGTGCCCCCTGCGCCCCCTGCCTGCGCCACTGGTTTTAATATATACGTTCTAGCCGATAAACGCATCATGGTGTTTTCAGTGATACTAGAGATACAAGTACGAACAGATAGCTGATGCAAATCGTGTGTTCTAATTGCAGTGCCGGCTTTGTTCATCATCCCATAAGTCCTACCGAGTACGTCCAATTTACACACGCGTCAATCCTTGGGCCGCAGTCCGTTATCCTATTTTCCTAACCTTTATCCCACCATGGCTCCAAAACGCAGATCAAAGAAGGGATTCAGCAAGCTATCAGAGGAAGATAAGCAAAAGTTCTTGGAGAAGAAAGCAACCATGGAAGAAGAACAACGGCGTCGAAGACAGGAGCTCCTGTCTATCTTCTTGAAGGTAGACACTTTTGTCGAAATTTGTGAGCATAAAGGGTTCCGAAATGATGCGGCATGATGCAGAAATTCGTCCACGCTTGATAGCAAGCCCTGTACATGCTTTCCATGAACCTCGAATCACTTTTTCCATGAACCTCGAATCACTTTTATGTCGGTCGGTCACGTCCTTCTCTGAAGTCTCAAACTGTTCGACCGTGATATGTAATGATCACGTTACCCATCGTTTATCACGACGTCATTGCATCGTACTCTGTGAAAGCTCTAACTCGCGCGTTTCACAAAACTATTCCCTTAGCTAATGCAGTGGTGTGAATCATTGTGGCTTTGAGAAGTGAAGCGTTCATTTTACTATAACTGAGTGATGGTATTGACTTGTTAGCGCGCCAGACTCGACTCGTACAGTTTTACACGCGGCTGACCAATGACTGAGAATGTATTCTTTTAGTGATGGTCATGACCACATCACGTGAAGCTGTTGTGCTATGCTGTGTCGACAGAGAAATACATTTGCAGATTGAACGAGCGCTGTTCTAATGCGGCGCACTATCCACTTCTCGCTGACTCACTTTTTAACATTTCCCTTTCGTTTTGTCACAGATCAAGTTGACAAAGGAGGAGGAGATGACGAGGACAAACACACATAAACTGAACGACAGGTGGAGAGCGATCATGCGGGATAAAAAGTCTACGGAGCTTCAGGGCGAAATAGAGGTATGTGTCATCTCTAGTGGGGCGGTGGCCGTCACGTGCCAGCCTGTAAACCCTTCCGCAGATTGCGATTGGATTGTCGAACTGTTACGCGGGTATCAAATAGACATTTGTGGGTCACTGTGTTGTGCAAAGTAGGGTCTGTTGACAACGAGTCTAACGTTTTGGGAACACTGTAACCCTTTCGAACTTCTGTGTGTAACTTTGATGCTTATATCGTGCCGATGTTGGCATATAAGCAGCACGATCATATGTTTCAAAGACTTAAAGTATCATTTTCAGTGCGGACAGGGACCTCCAGCCATACAGTAAGGACTAACTAGGTTCAGTCTTTGTATATGCTATATATGCTCAAAACGCAAAACTGACCCAGTCTTTTTAAAACTTTCTTAAGTCCGGACCCACTGAACGCGGAGGACATTACACTTTTGGGAGAACCCGTGGTTACGGACCACCTATAAATAACGTTGCGTATTTTGAGCCGTTTCCAACCGTTCCTATCCCTGGTTATGCAATGGCCACGCTGGGCGAATTCCCTCCCCCTGGTAACGCTGCGTTATACGCTACGTCCCAAAACAGTGACGTCTGTTTGGCCCCGGATTGAGCTAAAGGTCCAAAACAATTACAGGTGTGTTGCCTGTCATGATAAGATTCCAACGGCATCTGGCATTAAGATTTTAGAGCATTTAAGAACCTAAAGCCTGACTGACTACCCTACATGAGCATACCGTTACGCTGTCCACCCCCTCCCCACATGGGCAAACCGCTGTGCTGTCCACCCCCCTCCCCACATGAGCACACCGCTGCGCTGTCCACCCGCTCCTCACATGAGCACACCGCTGCGCTGTCCATCCCCTCCCCACATGGGCACACCGCTGCGCTGTCCACCCCCCTCCTCACATGAGCACACCGCTGCGCTGTCCACCCCCTCCCCACATGAGCACACCGTCGCGCTGTCCACCCCCTACCCACATGAGCACATCGCTGCGCTATCCACCCCCTCCCCACATGAGCATACCGTTGCGCTGTCCACCTCCTCCCCACATGAGCATACCGTTGCGCTGTCCACCCCCTCCCCACATGAGCATACCGTCGCGCTGTCCTCCCCCTCCCCGCATGAGCATACCGTTGCGCTGTCCACCCTCTCCCCACACCAGCATACCGTTGTGCCGTCCACCCCCTCCCCACATGAGCATACTGTTACGCTGACCACCCCCTCCCCACACGAGCATACCGTCGCGCTGTCCACCCCCTCCCCACATGAGCACGCCGCTGCGCAGTCCACCCCTCCGCACATGAGCATACCGCTGCGCTGTCCACCCCCTCCCCACATGAGCATACTGTTACGCTGACCACCCCCTCCCCACATGAGCACACCGTTGCGCTGTCCACCCCCTCCCCACATGAGCATACCGTCGCGCTGTCCACCCCCTCCCCACATGAGCATACCGTTGCGCTGTCCACCCCCTCCCCACATGAGCACACCGTTGCGCAGTCCACCCCTCCCCACATGAGCATACCGTTGCGCTGTCCGCCCCCTCCTAACATGAGCATTTCGCTGCGTTGTCCACCCCCTCCCCCACATGAGCATACCGTTACGCTGCCCATCCCCTCCCCACATGAGCATACCGTTGCGCTGTCCACCCCCTCCCCTCATGAGCATACCGTTACGCTGTCCACCCCCTCCCCACATGGGCACATCGTTGCGCTGTCCATCCCCCTCCCCACATGAGCATACCGTTGCGCTGTCCACCCCCTCCCCTCATGAGCATACCGTTACGCTGTCCACCCCCTCCCCACATGGGCACATCGTTGCGCTGTCCATCCCCCTCCCCACATGAGCATACCGTTGCGCTGTCCACCCCCTCCCCTCATGAGCATACCGTTACGCTGTCCACCCCCTCCCCACATGGGCACATCGTTGCGCTGTCCACCCCCTCCCCTCATGAGCATACCGTTACGCTGTCCACCCCCTCCCCACATGGGCACATCGTTGCGCTGTCCACCTCCTCCCCACATGAGCATACCGTTGCGCTGTCCACCCCCTCCCCACACGAGCATACCGTTGCGCTGTCCACCCCCTCCCCTCATGAGCATACCGTTACGCTGTCCATCCCCTCCCCACATGAGCATACCGTTACGCTGTCCATCCCCTCCCCACACGAGCATACCGTTGCGCTGTCCATCCCTCCCCTCGTCAGCTTTCGGTTACGTTCCATCAAAGATACCTCACCATCCATGCGTGACGTCATACATGTGCAGCTCTTTCGGGACAATTACATACACCCCCATTTGACTCCAGGGCAGAGTTTCGCATCGCGTTTCTTCGCATGGAATGTTTCATGATATTGCCTAGCTTCGTCTAGCGTTGACCTGGATGGAAGTTTTCGTGGACGAAAACTTTGTAAACGCAAAACGGTACACTCAGAATTTTTGCAACACAAGGCGTTGCATCAGCTTGGTATAATTAAGCACTTCTTTGAATAACATATTGGCGCGCTCATTTCTGGCTATCGGGTTTTGTAATATGCGGCGTTATTCGCGGACGAAATTCTTCCGAATTGCATGTCTTTGCGTACATCATTATTACAGCTTGAATTTACAAATTATTATTTCATACCATTGGCGTGATCATATGTATGCATTCCAAGAGCGCAGAGTAAATGCGTGTTCAAAACACATTCGTATACAAAATTTGCAAGTGGATTACATTTAAGTGGTGTTGTATGTTGTGTGCCTTGGTCTGTACGTGCTTTTCAAAGTCTGCTTCATGTATCACGCATGCCTTGCATACTTTCAGGTCCCTGATAAGCTCATATTTCAACAATAAGCGTGTAAACACGCTTGGAAGACATAAGATCCCGAATAAATGTGGGAGCTCACAGTCATTTCCATCGGCCTGCCATTCGACCTTTAACTCGGGTTAAAGACAGAAATGGCTTAAACGACATATTGCGGTCTGGGTGCCGCCGTTGAAACTACACTCGCCTTTTGACCATCTGCAACTGGGCTGCTTCCGGACGCTTCAGCCAGGCGGCGACCGTATGGTGTGGGAGCGGATCAATAAGGGGCTTAGGTTTTCGTTTGGTATGGATAGGAGCTTTTGTTGTCAGCAATGACCATTTCAGGAGTTTGGTCCAGGTAAGGTTACGCGCACCTGGGAGTCCCCTGTTATCGAGGCTTACCTCGCACAGGACCTCGACTTCGGGGTTTGCGTGGGTGCCCAGGCGGGGCTCCCGCCGGGTGGACGGAGGGGAGGGGGGTCTCTTAAACCCACTCATGGCTCTTGTATGCATGCAGCTTGCCCCGGGTAAACTGAGCGTTACGAAAATTCGGGATAAATTGGGTAGTGGGTGAAGAGGGTTGAATGAGATCAAGAATAACGGCAGTCTCTGATGTTCACTGAATTTTAGGGGCAGGGGTTCTTATTAGGCTACACATGGTGAACCGTGGACAACGAAATCAGTACATTTCATGCAAATTCGCAAACGCATTACAGCGTGTTGTCAATGACGTTAAACTACTACCTGGCAGGCTTTAGTGACGGATACATGCATGATTCGCAGTGACCAGAAGGGGGGGGGGGGGGGCGCGCAAAAACATTGTCACAGAAAATGGTGTACAGTGTTCCGCATGCGAGTTTTAGCATTACGCTGTTTTATAACAGCGTGCCATAAATCTTGGAAACTTCTTGCGTGCCATAAATCTCGGAAGCGGTGACCAGTCATGTGCTGTCCGACGCAGGAGATCAACGACGAATATCGCTAAGGCTCAGTTGTGCCGCCTGCAACAGAGGCCAGATGTTTTTGAATAGCAAATGACAATGTCTGGAGTCTAGCTGCCAAAAGATGTATAACATGAAGGTAAAATTAGCGACCTCGATGCGTCATGAACAGAAACATACCGCAGATTGTAAAACGGAACGTTCATTTGAAATCGCCGAGTGCTGGCGTTTGTGGAGGTGCTCATGTCCGTGCAACACTCCGATCGATTCCAAACAAGAGTGCGTCGTGAAATCACCGTTGTTTGACAGATAAGACGACTGACGTAAATTGTGGAAAATATGTATTAAGTGCTTACATCCATTGCTCCCTGAAAGTGTATCTAGGTCATTGAACTCCTGCGTCAAATGCTGGCCCAGTTTACAAGGTCACGCCGAGCAACGAACAGCCAATAATACAGCCGGCATAACCATGCCGAAGTCTCCACATCCTCTGACGGCCTGCGTGGCCGCGCCACCTCCGCCAGACGCTTCGCCAGGTGTTCGAGTCTCAGTTGGATAAGCGCGAGGAGACCATCCGCAGGCTGTTCAAGGAGATCGAGGACGGGGACGAGCAGCGCAACATCGCCGTTCGCACCCACATCGAGAACCTGGAGCGGATCATAGGTCAGTCGGCGCGCTCTCTGGCGTCGGCGTCCGTCGGGCGGAGCTGCGCCATGCATCCTCAGCCGACGGTGTAGTGCACTTACGCTGAGGTTCCGTCGAATGTCACTGGCAATTTGACCCTGCGTAAGATGTGTTCAGAGGTGTTTTTCAGCCGTGCGTAAGATGTGCCCAGAGGTGTCGATTAAACCTTGCGGAAAATGCGTTACGAGGTGGCGCATAAGCGTTGCAGCGTCATGCAGCACGGGTTACATGCTAAGTCAAATCATATTTCCGTGTATCGCTGTAAAATACCACTGCGGTAATGATTGATTGCAACGCTGATCTGATTATTGCTGCACCCGTAGGATAAAAGGTGGTGGGCAGGACAAGGTCAACTGCTTCATTTTCAACTTCTGTAATTTTGCACGCAACCTGCGTGTTATCAACGCCTACCTGATGTGTCCATCGTACCCGAACATCTGCTCTGTGCATTACTGTATGTCCTGTCCGTGGCCTGAGTGCTGCTGGCCAAGATGGCGTAGTGGGATGGTTAAAGGCGCCACTTCAGCCTGTGCACGATATTTGTGCGATGACGAGGGACTGCTTACCTACCCTGCCGTCCAGTCGCCGGTGCCAAACAGCCACTGACTATACCGAACGCTCCGACACTACGCCATCGCACACAAATGTCCTTCCACCACTGAACAGAGCACAGAGCAGACCGTCTCCCGCGTTATAACACATGTCGATACAGTACACAGCGTTTGGCGGGCCCTCCTCAGACCAGCACCGGGGCCACCTGCGCGAGGCGCGCGCCACTTTTGACGAGAGGCTGAGCGCCGTCGGCTCCCACTACGACCGAGAGCTACGTGGCATTGACGACCTGCAGGACACCGACACGCAGAAGCTGGCCGACATCCTGCACAAGATCGACTGCGACATGTCCGAGGCCGACAAGGAGGCCAGGGCGGAGTTCCAGAGCAAGAAGGAGGAGATCAAGAACAAGGTACGTAGTAAAATTACGCACACATGGACTAACTTACTTGTCGTGGGCTAGCGCGGATTTCCTTGCAAGGAAGGGGTGCGGAACTGCATCACGCCGATTATAAATTTCTATCAGAAGCCGAATATTGCTAAACCAGAAAGGCACGCAAGCCCAAGAGGAGAAAGAGGCCCCCACCCCCACCCCATCCTCGCCCCTGGCTGCGTCCCTGTTACTCGTTTACCATCACCAGGTGGCGTTTAAAAACCCACGACGTTTAGTTTCATCGCAGCTCATCGTTTTCGGGCCAAAATCATCGGCCTGCACTTTTAAACGTCAACCAAGGTTTTCGCGCGGTTGTGGTCCACGTGACGACCCTTGACCGGGTGTCCCGTCGGGTGTGCGCGCCGGCTGCAGGCGTTCTGCTCGGCGTCATGTCCTGCCAGCTGAAGCTCATATGTCGGCAGCCTCACGGCACTTTATGTAAATGTACTAAAAGTCGCGCTCATGTGCAGATGTACACGTGTATCTGTGTCTGGGCTGTCGCAGAGCATCGAGGAGGGTCAGGGTTTGAAGCTTATGTGTATGTACTGAAATAGCACGCTCATGTGCAGATGTACACGTGTATCTGGGTCTGGGCTGTCGCAGAGCATCGAGGAGGGTCAGGGTTTGAAGCTTATGTGTATGTACTGAAATAGCACGCTCATGTGCTGATGCACATGTATCATGATGTATCTGGGTCTGGGCTGTTGCAGAACATCGAGTTGCGGCAGGGCTTGAAGCTTATGTGTATGTACTGAAAGTCGCGCTCATGTGCAGGTGTACATGTGTATCTGTGTTTGGGCTGTTGCAGAACATCGAGGAGCGGCAGGGCTTGAAGCTTATGTGTATGTACTGAAATAGCACGCTCATGTGCAGGTGTACACGTGTATCTGGGTCTGGGCTGTCGCAGAGCATCGAGGAGGGTCAGGGTTTGAAGCTTATGTGTATGTACTGAAAGTCGCGCTCATGTGCAGGTGTACATGTGTATCTGTGTTTGGGCTGTTGCAGAACATCGAGGAGCGGCAGGGCTTGAAGCTTATGTGTATGTACTGAAAGTCGCGCTCATGTGCTGATGTACATGTATCATGATGTATCTGGGTATGGGCTGTTGCAGAACATCGAGGAGCGGCAGGGCTTGAAGCTGTTTCTGGAGGGCGTCATCGAGGGCCTCTGGGACCGCTTCCAGAAGACGCTCAGGGCGTACTACGAGGTGTGTGCCCGAAACGCTCAGATTGCATTCTGCTCCATAGCTTGGGCACGAATTTGCGTGAATCCGAGAAGATAGGACAGTAGTATTAGCCTTACTCCTCGGAGAAAAACCAGGAGAATAAAAGATAGTTGGAATGATATATCGACAACATGCCTTCAACGTAGCCGAAGTGTCTTGTTTGGCAGACGTGGGGCTGCGGACCGCCCAACACCAAACGTCAACTTCTGCTTTGTTTCGATGAAGACATGTTGCTGAAGTATTAACCCAACTATATCTCCATTCTCCTGGTTTTTCTCCGAGGAATAAGGCTAATACTACCGTCTTATCTTTGTGAATAATGGTCCTCGCTAATGCAGTGAACAACTTACATATATCCGAGAAGGATCAAGAAGATCCGCATTCATTTGTTGCATGAGTCTAGTGTCTAAATGATTGCCGCCTTGCACATGACTGGTCACTTGCGTTTGCTAAACGCAATTCAACTTTCACGAACTGAAGAATTTGTTTTGGTCGTGTTTATTGTAAGTCCTGTAATAACAACACTCTTCACTATATATGTGGCTCCTACTGCGAAAGTTCGTGTTGCCAGGACACCGAGAGTCGGAGAAAGGCATTCTACGACCTGAAAGCCCGCGAAGAAAACTCGGTGGAGGTGATCGCAAATCAAAGCAAGAAAATACAAAATCTACAGGTCAGTCTGTGACGTGCGTGGTACAATCATTACCATGACAGCATCATGGACCGTGACTGGGATATCGCCTTGTTATGAGAGTATCGCGACTGTTTTGGCATGGGCCGAGCTGACGTGTTTGTTTGCGTGACTGCAAAATCCAACTTTGAGTCTCCTGATTTCGAGCCGGCTCCATCCCCCTCCCCGGTTACGACCGAACGCGCCGCACGACGTACCCCATAAGGTCCTCAGGCAGATCCCAGAGTGTTCCCTGCCGACTGTTGCCGACGCCCGCCGTGTGTTCGCTGGTGCATCGCATCTAAGACACATCGAAGAGCAGCTGCGCTCCGTTGGTGCGCCGGGAGCGTGACGGGGCGTGGCCGGCGGCGCCGCTGCAGGAGGACATAGGCCGGCTGCGGGCGCGGCTGGCCGGTGGCGCCAAGGAGCACACGCGCCGCACCAGCAGCCTGAAGGAGGACCGCACCAGCATGAAACTGTACCTGCGCCGCGTCAAGACCGATGTGGCCGCGCAGCGCCAGCTCGAGGATCACAGGATGAAGCAGCTGACCGTCATCACCAGCGAGGTCATCAAGGTAGGGCGGCGGGCACACGCGCGCGCCTGCGTCTGATCGCCGGTTGGGATGGCGCTTGGCCGTGGTGGGATGAGGATTTTGTTCGATTACGGAGTGGAACGTCTGCCGCTCTTGCTACATCCCGTTTGCATTCGCACTGAGCGCTATGCGATTGGTGGGCACCACAAAAGGTTTTATTAAGCTAACTGATGCTACCCGTAGCGTCTAGTGTTAATCACGCAGAAGCAGCTGGGGATTTACGGGAGTTACAGAGCCTGTAGTTTGGCAACACTATCTGTCTTTAAAATTGACTTCAAAGACCTGAAGGATTTCCCCAAAATGGTTGGGTCTCAGACTTATGGGATTGTTCAGGATGTGTGAACCATTTGCGGAGAGCTGACAGTGTTTTCCCGCATGCGGGCTGACAGCAGCTTGAGCTTCGAGAGCGGGAAGCTGACCAGATCATGAAGCTGTCCGAATGCTGTCGAAAACTGGAGACGGAGGAGCAGAAGATCATGCCGTTCAAAGAGGCGCCGCTAACGCCGGAGGAGCAGCGCGCGCTGGAGGCGGCCATGGAGGAACCCAGCGACGAGCCGCTAGCAGAGGTACAGCTGGCACAGGCCGCCAGCCGGCACGCCCCTGACGAGCGCTAGCGGAGAGACGACACAGAGGCCACCGGCAGGGGTACAGTCACTGGCGGCTGGCGAACCGCCGGCGGAGGGGCCTTGACACTGGTCGCTGGCAGAGAGACGTCAGATTGGTCCTTGCCAAAGCAGCTCGGGTCGTCGACTCCTGAGTGGTGCCATTGACGAGATGTAAATTCCCAGGCGGGTATGACGCTGGCTCTCAGAGCACGCAGACGCCACCTTCCCATTATAGGGGAATCACTAGGCCACAGGGCAGCTATACATTGAGTCTCGTGCGGCCTCCACACCTCCGGCAAACTCGTAGCGTTGTACCTCCAGTTCCGCGTCGGCGTGTGGAGCGTGTCTCCCAGCTCGGTGGCCGGCCTGTAATGTCCTGCGGGCGGCAGGCGCTGCGCGAGTACGGCGCCCTGGAGAACTTCTGGCGTCGTTACAACACGGCGCTGCTGGACAAGACGGCCATGACGCTGCAACGTGCCGACCTGCGCGCCGAGAACCAGCAGCTGCAGCAGATGCTACGCGACTACATGGAGAACCTGCGGGCCGGCACTGTCACCAAGGCCGAGGGCATTCTGCCACAGGTGCGACAAGGGGCGCACGGCCTCACGATGTGATGTGCGTGCGTGCGTGCGTGCGTGCGTGCGTGCGTCCGTGAGTGTGCGTGCGTGCGTCCGTGAGTGCGTGCGTGCGTGCGTCCGTCCGTGAGTGTGCGTGCGTGCGTGCGTGCGTGCGTCCGTCCGTGAGTGTGCGTGCGTGCGTGCGTGCGCGCGCGCGTGTGTGTGTGCGCGTGCGTGCGTGCGTGCGTGTGCGCGCGCGCGCGTCAGAGGGACGTTCCAGACCAAATAATGAGATTCTGCCCATGGATGTTGGCTCCCTGGGTCTTCAGAATGTGCGGGGCGTCAGCTCGAGCATTTATTGGTGCGTGGACCTTCGGGGTCATGGGTACATCCACGCCGTCAGTGGACTTCGTTTTGATTTATAGCATGTCGAGTTGACATCTGTTTTACAGTAGTTTTTATTTTCGTGTACTTTGATTGTCCTTGGCAGCCCTCGCAGGGCCTTGGCCGTCAGTCCCCGTGCGGCCTCGGCTGTCGATCCCTGCACAGCCTCGGCTGTCAGTCCCCGCACGACCTTAGCTGTCAATCCCCGCGCGGCTTCGGCTTCGGCCGTCAGTCCCTGCACAGCCTTGGCTGTCAGACCTTTCACGGTCTTGGCTGTCAGTCCCCGCACGACTGAACCGATCCACTGCGCCGCGTGTCAGCAGTGGCAGGCGTCAGCAAACACTGACCGTTGACAAGGCGCCATCAAGCGGGCGCGGTGCCGGCCGGTACGCGCCGCCCGCCGCTGACCCTGTGGGCGTGAGACCGCGGCCGGTGACCGCCGTCTCGCCGGCAGACGCGGCAGTCCAGTCTGTCGGTGGTGGAGCCCGGCCGGCGTAGCAGCACGGCCAACATCATCGAGGCGGCCCACGTGGCCAAGAACCTGGTGCAGGCGTGCTCCATACTGCCGCCCTGCCGCTTCTGAGTGAGCCGCGCCAGACCGGCCGACGGCGCGGCCCGGCACCGCCTCCGGATATTTGGCTCCAGCGGGGCTGGCGCAGGTGTGCGGACCGCCTGGGGTACAGATGGCACCATGTGTGGCCTACCATGGGATAGGTGGCGCTGGTCGATCACGTGCTGCGAACGGTGGGCCGGTGGAGAGGGGGTCCGGGTGTGGGACTGGTAGTTTGTATGACTTTTTCCGACCGTTTCCCGCGCAGGAAGAAATCATTTCGTTGTATGGTTTTTGTACTGTCCTCTGTCTCTTTGCACTTCTTTTCTTTCCGTTGTTTGGTAGGTCTTTGTCGTATGAGAGGCAAATCATCTGAAAACTTGTTTATTAAATCAGGTTTTGTGCAAACAAAATCGGTAAACATCTAGTGCAATTACACAAACATAAAACAATCTGGCTATCTGCTACGTACTTGGGCGGAGGACAGCACTGATTCGCACATACCATATCGCGCAACACTCAGCCCGCGGCGCTCCACGCCTGCGCATCACACCCCGGAGGCCAGCATCGCCCCAGCGGCGGCAGCCCGTCAAAAATAAAGCACCGACCGACCCGGCCGTGGCATCCCTGGTGGCGCGCAGCCCGAGTCAAAGAATGGGGCCGCCCCCCCCCCCCCCCCGCGGCGCCCCGCGCGGGCCGCACCCCGAGCCGCCCGCGGACCTCGCGCTCTCGCGGCACACCAAGACGACGGCTAGAGAAGAGCGCCGCTCGCGGAGCGACGCGCGCCCGCGCACGGCGCGTGTCGGTGGGACAGGATGTCGAGTATCGAGAGCGCCGGCCGGTGCCGGCTACACCTTGACGATGTCCGCGTTGGCGTTGAGATCACTGACCGCAGACGTGCCGTTCAGCTTGGTCTTGGTGATGGTCTTGTTGGGCCCGTCCAGGTCCAGCCAGAGCTTCCACAGCACCGACTCCTTCTGCACCAGCTCCGGCACGGCGCCCAGCGACTGCCGAGCACAGACGAGTTCGTGGGTCAGGCGGGCGGCTAGCCGGGCACCGCGTGCCGGGCAATGCAGACACGCGAGAGCACGCACCCGGATAGCGGCACCAGTGCAGATAAAAACAGTGCTTGACGAGGCGTGTGAACAAGCCATCGTATTGAACTGCACCAACAAAGACGAATCACCAATTACTTAGCTTCGTTATCGATGCCAGCGAACCGCAACTAGCGGCAGTTCTATCCAGAGCACAAAAATGACGGCAAAACCCCTGATGGGGCGCGGGTGGGCATAGCGAACGCTTCACTTACGACGATGACGTAGTCAATAATCTCGTCCAGGGTTTGTATCTCCGACTCGGCCTTCTGCACGTTCTCTGTGAGTATCTGCTTGTGCTTAGTGTACTTCTGCTTGAGCTCCTCCAGCTGGCGATCCTTCTTCTGCAGCTCCTGTCGCAAGCTTGCGGTCTGTGGAAGCGACGCAGGTCAGGTCAACAACCGTGCCACAGGATATACTTGCATCCATTTATTGCTGCACAACCAACTCACACCGGGGTTTATCGGGAAGATCGGTCATGACCTCGAGGTATTGTGTGCGTGTGCTTCCCACGCCTGCTGTGACGCCACGCCCCCTCCCCCATGACGCACACGCACGCCGGTCTCGCTCGGCCCACCTCGTTGTCGGCGGTGTGCGACTGTTGTCTGCGCAGCTCGACGTTCTCCGCCTCCAGCTGCGCCAGCCGCTCGCGCAGCTCGGCCTCCGAGTCGCTGTTGGAGCCGGCCGTCCTGCGATCAAGACAGCGGTCTGAGAACCACCGAACGCCATCCGACTGCTCCCTCAGCGCTTCCATGACATGTGGGGGGACGGGGACGGGAAAGAAAGGGGAGGACCACACGTTGATCAATGTGAGCGCAGGACACAATCGGTACCGCACTTGGTGACTCCGAGGAAGAGCGGCCTGTAGGTGCCCCTGTTCCACCCCAACGAGCTGGCACTCGTCTGTACGGGTGTCTCACCTGTCTGGCTGCGCGCCGTCTCCGGCCGCCGCGTCGGCGTCGGCGGCGTAGGCGGAGGACGCGGCGCGGATGAGCCGCTCGACCAGCGTGTCCACCTGCTGCACCTGCTCGTCGAGCCCGGCGCCGTCGGCGGCCTCGCCGCGCTCGGCGCTCTCCTCGCCCTCAGGCGAGTCGCGCCCCTCCAGCAGGTGGCGCACGGCCAGCTCCTGGAGGCTGTCGCCGCCGGCCAGCGGCGGCCGCTCGTCGGCGATCGTCTCGCCGGCGGGAAGGTCGAGCGCGCGCACCATCTGCGAGAGCGAGCGCGGCGGCGCGGCCAGCGCCGACACCAGCGAGGCGGTGCGCCGCGGCGGCGGCTGGCCGCCGTCCGCCAGCCGCGCCGGCACGGAGCGCGCGTGCGGCAGCTCCAGATCTCGCAGCAAGTGGGCCGGCAGCAGGTGGCGCAGCGCCGCCTCCAGCCGGGCGGCCAGCTCGCTGAGCGCCACCGACGCGCCGCTCACGCCCGCCCCCTGGCACAGCAGCAGCTCCTTGGTGCGGCTCTGCACGTGCCGCAGCTCCGCCTTCAGGGTCAGCATCTCTTCCCTGGCGGCGCGTTCGGACGGTATGAGGGGCGTCTGGACCGGGACCGGGCCTCAGTATAGCCTCACTGCTCCAGTCCGTGGCGGCAGCCGCCACGGCAGTAGCATGACGGGAGTGCAATCAGACTATGGAGCACGGGGGAAGGCTACGACTTGGTGAAATCATGCATACAGGCAGCGAGAGGTGGTTCACTCCAACACACGGCTCCCAGCCGGCCGCCGAAAAAGGCCGCTCGCCCGGCGCCTCTACAAAAACATAACGCGATATTGGTTCACTTGCCGCAGCCATGCCATCCCGGACACACAGAGTTTGGGCCTTTCCCAATTGGTGTCGAAGGTTATTCTATTTTCGGAAAAATAGCACGAAGCTCCACAAGGCACCGAGCCGTAGAGGCCAGCCACGCAACGAAAGCGGACAGGGGACGGATATTAACGACGACCCAGGTGTCACCACCACGCCTGCAAAAACGTAACGAGATACTCCATCCATTTATCCGGGTCACGCAACTCCGGTCACAACGGAATACTACCGACCGGTCGCGTGAAGCATGGCGCCTCAGTTACAGTCGGCAACAGCGGGGGGGGGGGGGGCTTCACAGCTTACACGGGGGAGGGGCGAGTAGGGCTTCACGAGGTGCGGTACTGCGCAGTGACCACTGCTGAGGACGCGATCAGTGCCCACACATGTGTCAACACCTGCGCAGCGATGACTCAACATCACCCGACCTGCAGCGAGCTCGCAGACAAAAAAAAAAGATCGAGCAGCGCAGCGGGTGACGCGCCCAGCGATACGGGGGAGGGAGGGCCGCACTGATGACCGAAGACGGGGAACTACGCCTCCGGCCAGCCAGCCACGGCGCTAGGACTACCGCCGCAGCCTCAGCCCGAAGGCGTCGTCTGGCCAGTCGGCCCGGGGCGCTCCGCTCGGCGGCGGGGTCACTTACGCTCGCTGTTCGGCCAGTCGGGTCAGCTGGCAGCAGCGTTCGTCCTTCTCTCGGAGCGCGTCCTCGCCGGCGGCGGCTGCCGTCCGCAGGCCGGCCACCTGCCGACCGGGCTCTCCAGGTCACGTCCCGGTCACGGCCACCGCCGCTCGGCGGCCGGGCTCGGCCGGCCCCGGCCGAGCCCGGCCGCCGAGCCCCGGTCGCGTCTCAATGCGTTGCTGTGGTTCGACATGACTCAGTTCGTTGCTGTGGTCCAACATGATGTCTCAGTTCGTGGCTGTAGTCCAACACGGTACATCAGTTCGTTGTTGTGGTCCAACATGACGTCCCAGTTCGTCGCTGTGGTCCAACATGAGACCTCGGTATGGCTGTGGATCGGTGTCCAGGACGCCAAGACAGGAGAGGGTCGGCTCACAGTCCCACGTCTCTGGACCACTGATTTAAGTGGATTACCAGGCGCACGTCTCGCACGCTCGAGCCACAGTATTTGCGTGCCGTCCGGCTGGCGCACCATCGGCGTGAGAACTGCCAACACCGCTGCAGGAGGCCGCCGCGCCTCGCGGCAGGCGCCGGACCCCGTGGACGGCGGCGGGCTGACCTCGGTCAGCGCCGCCGTGCAGTGCCGCCCGTTGCAGGCGCCGCCGTCAGTCCGTGTCCATTGTCGGGAGTCGGCACACAGCGGGGGCGTTTCAGCCCGGCCGTCCGCGCGCCCAACAAAAAAACGGCAGGGTCAGCACGGCTCCTGGCCGACGCCAGAGGGCGGCCACACAGTGTGGGTCGCCGAGGGAACAGTGCTCAGAACGTTACATAATCGCAAGCCACCATTGTCCGGTACAGGGCATGCAGGGCGGTGCACGCTGCCGATGTTTTAGCTGTCCATAGCGGGGAGCACGCGGTGAACAACAGCGGATCAGGTCGCTCGTGTCTGGTCGCATCACTGTTATTGTCAGCCACCCGGCGTCGCTGGTTAGTCGCCCGGCACCCGTCCAGCGCATGCTCAGTCTGTCAGTCCCGTTCCCCGCCCTCACCTCATTCTCCGCCTCCCTGAGTGCATCAACCAGTGCGTTTTTCTCCAGTTGCATGAACTCGTGCAGTTCGAAGGACTCGGCCTCGGTTTCCTGTACCTGCTGCAGGAGCGTCTTCTGCGCCGCCACAGACTTCTCCAGGTCCTGACGCCAGGCCGAGGCCGGGTCAGCACAGGTCATCGGCACACTGCTCGCTGCGGGGCCATCGACCCCCGGCGGACGATTGGCCCGCATCGACACCACGGTCCGGCTGCGACAGTGACTCATGGCTGCCGCGCGGGGCTGACCCTGCTTACCCGGATCATTTCCCGCGCTGAGTCAGTCGGCACATCGCTGAACCATTGCTGAACCGCGCCGACGCTATCGCGTGTCTGCGGCGCCTTTTCCTGATTCGCTCCCTTGCGATCCGCAGCTCGGTAGAAAATCACCCAGGGCGCCTACACCTGCACTGCGACCGTGCAGGGTCTTCGGCGCGGTTTAGTAACGAGGTCACTGATGTACTCGGCAACTCGTCTACATTCCCTGACACTGCTGTCCTCCCTACGCACACACACCCACTCTCACGCAGCGGACGCCCTACAGTGCCGCCCACCTCTGACAGCCGGCGGGCGGTGGCCTCGGAGCGGTCGAGCTGGTGCTGCAGCTGTTCGGCGGCGGCGTCGGCGCCCTGAGCGCGCTGCTCGGCGCGCAGCAGGCTGTCCTGGTGCTGCTGCAGTTCCAGCTCCACGCCCTCCATGCGCGACATCATCTCCTGCACGCGCACGGTGGTGCGGCCCAGCTCCTCCTGCACCTCCAGCTTGTCGGCGCGCTCCTCCTCCAGTTGGCGGCGCGCAGCGGCCAGCTCCATCTGTCGGCAGCGGCGCGCACTTGAAGCGGGGCGGCCGATCACGGAGGTCTCCGGCGTCCATTCGTCCCCGCGCCAGCCGCGGGATGCTGCATGGTGGGGAGGACTCGCACGTGTGGGAACGAACAGACCTCTACGGTGCACGGCCAAAATGGCCGCCGTTTGCTACGGCAAACCTTTCACGCGCTTAACCACGAGCGTAGAGGCAAGTTCGCAGTCAGAATGTGGCGAAGAGCCACGGGACCCAGACGGCGGGTGTATGTGACGCGGCGACATCAAGACGAGACAGGGATCTGGCCAGACGGCCAGACGGCCGTGACCAACAGACAAGAACGGCCCAGACAATGAGACCAGGCCGGCACACCAGCCCCACACGAGGCCTTCATCAGGCCGCCGCCAGATTTCGTCTCCTCAATTACGCCCCGCGCCGCCGCGGTGTCCGGGGCTAACGACGTCCCGCCCGGCCGTCCACGCCACCCTGCCGGCCGGCCGGGCGGGCCGCCGGCGCGGCTGGACGCGGCGCCGGCGGCGGAGGTCGTTCTGCGCAGTCACGGCCGCAATCACCGGCGCTGCCGGGTCCCACGCGGCGGCCGCGACCGCTCGTGTTCATCGGGGACAGTCACGCGGCAACCAACACGGCCTCGGGCAGCGCCGTCCCGCCCAGCCGCGACAGGCTGTTGATAAAGCCGGGCGCTGAGTATAAACACACGCCAGCGGCCAGCCATCGCTCCGCCGATGATGTGACGTGCCGTTAGTGTCGACAGCAGAGAACCGTGTTTACCAAAATCGATTACGGGCTGGTGGAATCAGTCATTTCAGCGGAGAGGTGGGATGTAATTGACACCGTTGGAGCTGTAAATTTTACTCGATCTTCTCATGAATCTTTAAACGGTTAATGCCATTTTCCATTATCGTTTTGGCTCGCCCTCCAGCGAGTAGCATTTATGTTAAACGCCCGCCTGAAGTCCTGGACACCAAATGTCATCGAGCACGCGCCAGCAGCACAGCATGCCGCAGTGGCGCGCCTCTCCATTATTCCGCCGTCGCCTCGCGGCCAAAGGCGCCTTCGAGAGCCGGGCACTATCAGCTGCAGCACATCAAAGCCTGCCACTCAGTACCGGCTCTGTGGGACTTCGGCGACGCGTGCCAACGTCTTAGTCACGAATCTCAGCCGCCGGTATGGATTAGCGACGGGCCCGGGCAGCCCTCTCGCCCCCTCCTTCCCCCCTCCCCCCCTCCCGCCGCGTAACGTCGCCGCCCGTGCAATTACTGCTGGCCGTCGGCAGCCGACGCCCGCCATCGACCTGGCGGAGGCGGTGGAGGCCAGCCACGTCCGCCACGTCCCCTCCCCCACACAGTCGGCACTGACGCCGACGCAGCGACGATTCTTCTGACCCAGTCAGGTCGGGTCAGGTTGGGTCAAGTTAGGTCAGGTTAGGTCACGTCGGTAGGGGACGTAAGCCCTCTCTAATCCCGGTCAGGACGGATCGGGTCAGCCATTTTCCCTCCCTTTCAGGCTCAGGTCAGGTCAGGTCGGGGGAACCCTCCCGCCCCCTGCCAGTCCGGGAGGACCCAGCCCCGCACGCCCCGCTCAGCCGCGCTGGCTGCTTCCCCGCCGCACCCGGTCTATCCCCCCCCCCCTTTCCCGGCACGCGGCCCGACCGCGCCCCTCGCGGCGCCACCCCTGCCCGCGGGCGACTTCACAGTATTGATCTGTGCCCCCACGTGGTGCGGCGCCGTGGCGTCCGGGCGCCGACGGATGAGCGGGCGCGCCGCTCTGACAGCCGGCGGCGGCCCGACCGTGACCGGAGGGCGGCGCGCGCCAACTGGCCACCTCATCATTCTCCGGCAGACGCTGCCGACGACCAGGAGGACGGCGTCTGTCCCCTCCCTCCTCCCCCGAACACCCACCGAGCCGGCCAGCCCGCAGCGCCGACGGCACTACATTTCGCACCGGGAAACGAACTGCGCGCGGAGCACCGTGACGCAAATACCTAAGTCAATTACCGGCGTAATGGACAAACATCCGCCGGGCACCCGCGGCCCTGTCGGAAGCCCGCCGTAAATGAATTAAGGCCCGGACCAGCGCCAGCGCACTTCTGTCGGCGACAGCTGTAATTCCCCGCCGGCGGCGCGGGACAAGCGTCCGGCCGACGGCGCGGCGGGCCAGCGTGACGGATGGCGGCGGGGTCCCACCTGCAGCTGCTGCAGCTGGTCCAGCCTCACCTGCAGCTGCTGCAGCTGGCCCAGCCTTACCTGCAGCTGCTGCAGCTGGTCCAGCCTCACCTGCAGCTGCTGCAGCTGGCCCAGCCTTACCTGCAGCTGCTGCAGCTGGCCCAGCCTCACCTGCAGCTGCTGCAGCTGGCCCAGCCTCACCTGCAGCAGCTGCAGCTGGCCCAGCCTCACCTGCAGCTGCTGCAGCTGGCCCAGCCTCACCTGCAGCTGCTGCAGCTGCTCCAGCCTTGCCTAAAGCTAGTCCACTTTCACCTACAGCTGCTGCAGCTGGTACGGCCTCACCTGCAGCCGCTGCAGCTGGTCCAGCCTTACCTGCAGCTGCTGCAGCTGGTCCAGCCTCACATACTTCCGCTGCAGATGGTCCAGCCTCACCTGCAGCTGCTGCAGCTGGTCCAGCCTTACCTGCAACTGCTGCAGCTGGTCCAGCGCCTGGCGGGCGCGCTGCGCCTCGATCTGCAGGCGCGCCAGCTCGGCCGCCTGCTGCGCTTCGCGCGGCGACGCGATCTCCGCCTGGCAGGCGGTCTCGTGCCGGTCGACCGGCGGCCGCGGCCGCAGGCTGGCCGCGCTCAAGTCGCCGCCGGTCAGCACCGTCTGGCACGCTGTCTCCAGGCAGATCAGGGTGCGCTCGCGCGCCTTGCCGCCGGCCGGCGCGGCGGCCCGGGCGACAGGACGGGCGGCCGTGCGCACGGCCGCCGGTCGCCGCACCGCCGCAGCGCCGGGCGCCGTGCGGGGATTCGGTCGGGGTGGCGCCGCGGCCGATCGGGCAGCGGGCGGTGAGGGCTTCGGCGGTGGGTCGGGTTTGGCCGCCGGCGCCGGCGGCGGCGTCTTCTTGCGGCGGCCGAGCGTGGCGAATGTGTCGGCGCTGCGCTTCAGCTCTTCCGATGTGAACGTCGCTGACTTGGAGATGGCCGCCGCCGCCTCGGACGTTTTCGGCTCCTTCTTCTTCCTCGTGAGCGTGCCGTACTTGTCGGCGCTCTTCTTCAGCTCGGCGGCGGCGTCCGGCGGTGTCTTTCTCCGCCGGCCCAGCGTGCCGTAGCTGGCGCCGTCACCCCCGCCGATGTCTGACGCCTCCGGCGCCGACTCGGACTTCTTCAGCTCCGCCACTTTCTTGTCTAGCGGTTTCCTCTTGAGCGAGAGCGCTGGCTTGGCGCTGGCCGGTTTCGCAGCGACGTCGCGCTTCTTGGTGATCTCTGACACGGCCGGCAGATCCTCCCTCTTGGACGCGTCGGCGGGCAGCGGCTTCTTACCCTTGCTGCGCGGCAGCGTGCCGTAGTTGGTGAGCGTACGCTTCTCCTCTCGCGTGGCAGACGCGGGCCGGGTCTTCGCCAGGTCGACCTTAGCGCGTGCCGACAGCGAGCCGCGCGGACTGACCTTGGGCGGGCGCCGCGCCGACGCCGCCAAGCCGTCGCGGCTGCTGCGCGGCGGGCTTGACCGGTCCGACGAGACGCTCTCCGGCTCGTCGCTCCTCGACTCCACACTCTCATCGATTTTCAGCACCGGAAGGGGCGCGCTGTCGACGGCTGCGGCGCCGGCCGCGCCCCACAGCCGGTCGCTCCGCGCGTCGTGCGGGCGGCCGTCCTCGCCGGCGGCCGCGGCCGGCTCGGCGGCCTGCTCCGCCGTCATGGTCGACGGCAGCACGATGCCGACCAGACTGACGGGTCCCGAAATCTCTGACGACGGCTCGACCGGGCTCACCAGGCTGATGGAGTCGGAGCCGGCCGGCTCGGCGCCGCCGGCCGGCACCGCTGACTGCACCGGGTCGGACGCACCAGTCGCGCTGCTGGGCGGCGCTGGCTTGCTGGGGTCTGTGGGGGCGACTGCCGGCTCTGCCGCGCTCGGACCCGCCGAGCTCACACGGTCCGTTGGTGCGGCATGGCTCACCGGACTCGCGGTCTCCACAGGCGCCGCGGGCGCGCACACGCCGACCCCGGCGCCCCACACGTCCACCACGGGCGCGGGCGGCGGCGGCTCCGGGGGCGCGTCGGGCGTGGACATGGCCGCCGACTTCGCGCCGTCCCCCGACGCTGTCGACTCGCCGGCAGTCGGCGCGTCACTGACGGTCGGTGCGGCCGGGGCGGCGGCGTCGGCGTCGGCGCGCGGCGGCCGGCAGCGGCCCGGTGGCGCCTCCTGCGCCGCCTCCGTCTCGTCCTCCTCGGTGAGGCTCTCGAGCCGGCGCGCGCCCTGCTGCAGCGAGCTGAGCACCGCCGACGACACCTGCAGGTAGCTCACGCCGCCGCCGCTCACACACTGGCGCATGTCCGAGAACAGCTGCACGTGAGCGCCGCCGCCACCGCTGCCGACGCCGGCGGCGGTCGGTGGCGCCGCCTCGTCCATGAGAAAGAACTCACTGAACCGATCCGGGTCGACGAGTTTCACCGGCGCTTCGTCGTCATCGGGCGTGCAGTAGCTGTGCTCGATCGTCACGTGGCCGACCGTCATGCTGGGTCCGCGCGGCCCGTTCTGGATGTAAATCTCCTCAGTGTCCTTGACCTCGCCGTTGAAGGCGAACTCGTCGTCGCTGTCGTCGCCAACAATCACCTCCGACTCGACGAGATCGTCGAGCGCGGCGGCCGGCTCCAGCGCGTGCAGGTTCTCGGCCGAGAGCGAGAGGCCGGGCGACGGCCGAGACGCCGCCACCTCCGCCATCACGCGGCTGGAAGAGCAGGTCACCGCGTCAGTCGTCACGGCGGTTACCGGCCGCGAGCGGGGGCGGTGCACGTGGTCAGACACGTCGCACAGGTGCGCTCTGCGCATGCACGGTGGTAAACATCGGTCCGCCCAAGTCATTGCTAGTTCGTTAAACTGACCCCCGCAGTGGTACACACGCATATACTGATGTCACGAAGTGTTCGGGCGTTTGTTCCGCCAGCAACCGGCCGTCAACAATGACGCAGATCATTCCACACCTCAAGATGTCATTTTCGTTAGTTGTTTGAGAGATCCGGCGGAATGAAGCCATTCGGAACGGTTGATTGCCAATTTGCTACGATAATTTCCGTGACCACGCAGCTACTATTTGACATTCGTTTCCGAATATATTGGCGGTCAGACAGACGGGCGCCGCGCATGATCTGAGGGAGCGATCAATCATCACACGGGGGGTCTCGACAACCGCGTGATTGCCTACCGCTGTCTCTTAGGAAATGTGTTTCTCTTTGTCTAGCGACCTGATCCATTTTCGGCCAAGCTTTGAGCCCCTGTTTCTTTTTTTCTAACGAACTGCCGTGCGAATTTTCATTTAGCTGATAACAGCGAGACATGGAGATTTGGTTCGGGGGAAAACTTCCTCCCGTCATCGCAAATGCGACGCTCTCTGTGAGTGGTGGCCGATAACGAAGGCTGGGATTGGAGAGTGTGGGGGACGTTATTGTAGCGACCTCACGTCGGGATGATGATGCTGAACTACTTTCAGCGGGGTCCGAGGACAAAAAGGGCCATGACCAGCCAGCAGACGAATCTGAAGACACGACGCCGGCTTCATTTCAATTCAACCAGGGTTGTGTAGCTCTAAGGACGAAGCAGAACAGATTCAACACGTCACGCACCGCATGCAGCTGCCCACCTCCAACACTTCCTTCTTACCCGCCCGCGAATTTGAGCCAATGTGCTGCTGAATACGCCATATTTCTAACAGACCGACGCCTCGCGCATTAGCAGACCAAATCGCAGCGAAAGCGAAAACATCCAGATCACGCTGCGACGAGTCGAATTTGTCATGGCCAGTTGGACGCGGCGGAATCGCTGATTGTGGCGCGCGTAATTGGCGGGAAACGACGTCACAAGACGTCGGGCCGGCACGCGTCTGCATACATTTCCCGCCAAAATAACCGACAATTAAGAGAAAACCGGGCGGCACCGTGCCATTACCACCGCAACTCTCGCCGAGCAAATAGGCACGAGTGGTCACTTCCAGCAGAACAAGGTGAAATCCTCACACGCCCCGATTATCGGCCCCTGAAATAGCTACAAATCCAATGAGAAAATTGGCCCATTGGCCCATTGCATCGGCCGAATCGCTGGCGTTCGTGCATCAAATCCTGAGGCGCGTGCCGCACCGCGCCGCGCCGCCTGCCCCGCGGACGTAGAAACTCGGGCGCGCGCTGGGAAAGGCGACACGTCGTCCGCAAGGCCGGCTGAGGACGGAGCCGAACGCGGCGGCGGCGAGCGCGTCCTACGCCGGCGGCGGCGGCGCTTCCGAGGCGCTGTTACACGTCACCCCCGGCCAAATTACACACGCAGCACGGCAGCTTCGGGCGACTCGCTCTGAGGCGTTGTTCTGGCCATAACGGCCACCTTGTTCTATGGCCATGTGTAATTTTACCGCTTGTAACGTGCCCACACCCAGGCGCAGCCGCTGGGCCGTTCATGCCTCAGGTTCCCACCGCCCCTGATCGACGTTCTGTGTGTCGGAGGGAAGCGGCATTCCGGGACGCTGGGGGCGGAGGGTGTCGCGCGGCACATCCGTCCACGAGGAATGCCCTGATCGAGCCGTCCCTATCCCGAAGCCTAATTAGACAACACGGGGGGAGCGACAAAAGCGAGCAGCGGCTTAGCCGTAGCGGGGGCGAGGGTCGCGAGGCTGGCACCGGCCGATATGAGGCCGCGGCGAGGGCGAGGGCGAGGGCGAGGGCGAGGCTCGCTCGGGACCCGGAGGCGGAGGAGCGCCACCGATCCGCCGCCGAGCTGGGGCGCCGTCGGCCCAGCGGCCGGCAGCGCTGCTGGACGGCGGCGGACGGGCGCGACAGCCGCATCGATTCAGCCCGGCCCTGGCAGCCGCCGCCGGCTCCGATCAGCTGACCATCGATCGGCGCCACGTGACGCCGCCGGCAGACAGGTCACGTGACCGGCCCGCGGACGTGGGAAGCCGGGCGGCGAGACGGAGGAGACCGTGACCCCTGGCGAGCCACTGGTCTGCCGGAGATGGAGTCAGCATGCGAGACGGAGGAGAACGCGACCCTGGCGAGCCACTGGCGTGCCGGAGATGGAGTGGGCATGCGAGACAGAGGCGATCGTGACCCCTGGCGAGCCACTGGTGTGCCGGAGATGGAGTCGGCATGCGAGACAGAGGAGACCGTGACCCCTGGCGAGCCACTGGTCTGCCGGAGATACGATCGGCATGCGAGGCGGAGACCGCCACCTGCAGCCATAGCCGCAGAGCGGATAGAGAAGCTCAAGGCACGATGCAGCCAGTGAAGCGATAAAGCCTGGTGTTTAGGGCGCATCGAAATCGGAGGTCATGTTGCGCTCATTCGCCACGGGAATGACAGGAAACGAATGCGTGCTTTTGCAGCCCTCCGTACGGACGCGGGGCTTTTCCACTGGCTGACCTCACTTGCCTACAGTTCATCACGATTCAGTGATATAAACCAGTACCTCCGCGCCCCGGGCCCTTTACTCTAGTGCCCCAGACCGTCGGAGCAGGCATCAAGTCGATATGGGCGCAAGGCAAGGGTCAAAGAGCATCTCAGATGTTAATAAACACGACGGCCGTGTGCAAGTTTGGGCAGCAACAAGTTCCACGGCCTTCTGCTGTTCGCAAGCCCTTTCCAGTCCAGTTCGTACCGACTGAGTTTGGGGCCACGATCCAAGGGATTCCCTTCCGCAGGTGCTACCGATAACTTCGCCAGCGAAAACAAGGATACATTCCGTCCTGCCCCTGGTCGGGACAGACGCACCATTATTTGCGTGAGGCCCACAGCGCATTCCTGAAGAGGGCGCCCACCTGAGGATGTCGCCTGCCACACTGACCGCCAAGCGTTCGCGATCGCTCAGTCACGGCTGGCGAGGTACAAACGTGGCTGGGGAAATCGAATTTTTCTTAGCGAGTAAAACAAAGCCGAACAGCCTCTACAGCGTGGAGACAGGATAATAACGAAGGCAGGAATAAATCAGGAAAAGAAACACAAACGTATGCATTGACCCATTGTGGGTTCTTCACGCGAAACAAAAACAGCTCCGAAGAGGCAGCACAGTTCATAAAAGACTACGTGCGGAATGCATTCCAGAGATCGTCACGAATCCCAGCGGTGACACAGATCCCCGAGAAGTGAGATGTGCTGAGTGCCACTTAAATGATGTCGAGACACCAATGTATGCGAGCAAACAAGAAACGGTCCCTCCACGCCACAGACGGTCCCTCCACGCCACTGACACCTTATCCTCTCTCGATTTCAAATGGACAACACTCGGCAGCAAAACAAAACCATTCGTTACTTAATAACAGCTTAGTGTTGCCTTACGACGGCTTGGAATTTGAACACCAGACCGCACACACAGCGAAAAAAACACGTCATTCAGCCATATGGAGCTGCGAGACAGACGCCTGTCTGGTCCGGTCAGTTGCAGCACGAGAGCTGAGCCGAGGGCTCGCCATACGTCCGCCGAGCTGGCGCCGCCAGCACGCCCTGTCCAGCCCCTCACACCTGTGGCGTTCATGCGGTGCCGCTGACTCCGCATCAGGCACACACGCGTGCCAAGACGGAGAGGGGCTCGGCCGCCAACTTGTCACAATCTAACACTGTCTCTGTGGCGCCGTGTACCACGGGAGGACGCATAACGCACAGCGCTGCTTAGAAGAACGACCCGCGCATCGTCGGCCGCCTGCTCCACCAGCGTCCCAGCCGGCAGGCATGCATGCACCTGTCGGCCTTCGTAACCCGGCGCCGCCGGCCGCGACGCGCCGCCAAGCCTGGCGACGCATCGGCCGGCGAGCCTGACCCAGATCGCCCTGCGGCCCGGCGGCCGACTGACGGAGCGCGCAGCCGACTCCGCGACCCCGGACGGAAGGTCGGGCGCGAGTCGCCGCACCCGGTCGGCACCGGCGCGGCGCGGGCGGCGCTAATTATTTCCCGGACGGCCGCGCAGCAGACCGGCAAAGGCGCTCGTAACGCGGACGGACGGCAACCTGAGCGAGCTGCCCGCAGGTTTATTGCGGGCCAGCGCGGCCGTGGCAGACCCGGGCGGCGGACGCCGAAGGAGCGATAGAGCGACCTCGGCGGGCGCGACCTGGGGTGACCCGGCCGCGCCGGCGGCGGCTGCGACCGGCCGCAGGCCGAGGTCGACAGGCGACAGCAGACCAGATCTGGCGGCACACGGTGGCGACGCAACGCAGCTTATGCGGCCACGACTAGCGGCCGTGCTGTTGCAATGACAAATCACCACCAGCCGGCAAGCCCGCAAAAATGTCGCTTGCAGATGACTGGTCGGCCAGCGGTGGCAGTCACGACCAGTCGCTGTCCCGGCGCCTAGAGCCCTCGCAGGCGCCGTCAGCCGGCGGCGGGCGTCTCGCCTGGGGCGCCGCCACCTTCACCCCGCACAGCGCCGTCGGACCCCTGGTCAGCGGACCGGCCGGCAAAAACGCGCCAGGGTACGGCCGCCGCCCGCGGCCAGGCCGATCACGCACGTCCCCAGCCGCGCACAAAGGCGGCGCCGCTGGCCCGGGTCAGCCGGGTCGTGACCCCGGACAGCCGGGCAGGTGCAAATCGCTAGGTAATGGCGGCCGGAGGACGCGCCGGCCACCGACGCGCCCCATTGGCCGCTCGCCTTCGACGTCAAGGGGGTCGGTCGCACTGCCGCGGTCGTAGGGTAGGCCCCGGCCACCAGGCGACCAGCGCAGGAGGGAGGGTGGACGGCGTCATATTACTGCCGCGGGAC